AAAAAACAGGATTTATGGAAACTTGACAAGACAGATAAGGAACTTAAAGGATAGGAATGATGTAGCAGACAGTGGAGTGTCTTTTGAAGGGAGTAAAATTGAGCCTCCAGGATCCTCACCTTAAGTATGCTGTGTGGCTGCTTCATGGCAGAAAGAGCCCTGATGAATCTCTCTGCCATAAGAGGCTATGATGGAATCCTAGATGCGTGTGAAAATGAGGGTGTTTCTGTGGTCTCTAAGTCATTTCTGCCACTTCCTCTAATGAGCAGGGAGGCTCCTCTCTGGGCTGTGACTTGTCCCTCCCTCCTTAATTTCCTTCTTAACAATGGCCTGGACTCTATGATAGTGAGAAAAAAGGAGAGAAGAACAGAGAGAGAAAATAGGGGAAGACACAGAAATAGTGGGTCCATGAAAATGACCTAATAAGACAGGAATTACAGAAATTAAGCACTCAAAGGCAGAGCTCCACGAGACGACTCTGAGACACATAGACAATAAAATATGGCTGGTTCAGAGGCACTGTTCTCCTGGTCTCTGGGCTGTCTTTGAGGATGTACCCTTTAAAGTCTAGGGTCAACCTTGATGGAGACTTAGCAACATCGAGAGAACTTGGAAAAGGAGAAAATTCCTAGCATCAGGAAGATTGCACTAGAGACCTCCTTTCTCAGCTCCAGGAATACCCTGAGTCCCTAGTTCAATTTCCATGGTGACCTTCTGCCCTAGTTTGGGAGTACAAATGATAAAGAGGATTTTTTTTTTCAGAAGGGCTGCACAGCAGTCTCTGAATGTCAAAGAGGAAATCAAACACATCACTCAGGATCTGTGCAGCTAAAGTTTTCCAAAGATATTAAACATGAGTACTAACTCTGGCAAGACTTGGGTGAAGGAGGTAAATCAGCTGTATCTACATGCACTATATGTGATACTGAGGATGTCAACCAGCCCATGCTGAATGCCCCTGTAAATGCCTCAGGCTGGCCATGAAAATTTAATGAGATTGGTAGGTGTCTGTAAGCTCACAGGTTAGCTTGCAGCAATGTGCTCTCTCCTCATCCCTCTCTGTTTTTTAATCTCCCTGATGGTACCCAGGTCAGACTTGGAGAGAACAACTACTCTGACTCAAGGGAAAATAAGACTACCAAGAGGTCTTCAATCAGAGGTGTTGGGAGACTCAGAGCCACACAAGGCAAGCCAAGAAGTAATCCCTGCCACAAAGGCTGTGAGAAAGGCAGAAGTCAGCTTTCTATAGTCTTTCTGCACCCATAAGCCCCACAACTGACCTTATTTTCCACACATGAATTCCCATGTACCAACTCATCACTGGTTTTTTGATCTTCACCCTAAAGGAAACTCCACTCTTGATACTTCCCCAAGGCAGGGACGGTGACTATGAACAAGGTACTGGGCAGGCAGGAT